CCGCAGAGGAGCCAATCAGCTAGATGTTGCTGGGGCCGCTGTGAGCCAATCATCAGCCGGCAGCTGGAAGTTTGCTGGGGCTCCTTCGGCTGTGGCTCTCAACAGATGTGCATATCAGGGCAACAGGGATGTGCAGTCAGACATCTCAGAATTCTGATATTTGTGTAGGTTCTTTTCCCTCTGTAGGACTTCGCTTCCTTCAACTTCACAACTTCTCTCAGTTTTTATGGATCTGGAATTTGGAGAAGGCTTGATTGCATAGTTCTCATTCAAGGTCTGTTACATATGCGCACTCTGATGGTGGCTGAAGTTGAAATAGCACAAGAATGGAGCTTCTTTTTGTATCACCAGGGCCTCCCTGTATAGTCTTCCTGCATGGAATAGTTTGGGCTTCTTCACAGCTTGGTGGCTTTAGTCGTCAAATTGTTCACATGATGGCTGAAGATTTCAAAAGCAAATATTCTCAATTTGGCTCTTTTTTATCATTTTTTACTCCATATGTCTATGTTGCTTAGTGCTCAGCCACTGATTCCACAGATTTTTTCTAAATACCTGAAGGCAATAAGGCCTTACTTGGTCTTCTGTTGAATCTGTGTGTTGATAGGAAAGCATATTTAAAATTCAGGCCACTTTGAAGTTTGTCCTGTCTTTTATTTCCCCCTGGGCCATTTTGCATCTCTGAAGTGTTCATAGCCTTATAATGGGCCAGGAGTGTATCTAACATGGGCCCTCTCACAGTCTCAGCCAGGGACATGCTTATCCCAACCATGACTACCGCTTCAGGTCAGTAGAGCCCTTGGCTCTTCCTGCCTCTGAGATCACCACTTCCACCAACTGCATGTATTGCAGCATAGAGGCCTCACCCACCATTTAGAACACAAGTGGTATTGCCCTTCCCTGGGGAAGTTATTGGTTCTCTTCCTGCTCCTCTCTGGCAGGACCTCTGCCCCTACTGAGTGCATGAGGAAATGAGAGCAGCCCTGAGGGAAAGAAACCCACAGATCCCCACTGTTCTTACCCAAAGTACAACAGTTTTGGCTTTTTTTTTTTTTTTAAGTTGTAGTTAGACACAATACCTTTATTTATTTTATTTTTTATAATTGTTCCTTTTTTTTGAGAGAGAGAGAGAGATATATATCCCCCCCCCCCCGACACAACATCTTTGTTTGTATGTGGTGCTGAGGATCGAACCGGGGCCGCACGCATGCCAGGCGAGCGTGCTACCGCTTGAGCCATATCCCAGCCCCTTTATTTTATTTATTTTATTTTTTTATGTTGTGATGAGGATTGAACCCAGGGCCTCACACTTGCTAGGTGAGCGCTCTACCACGGAGCCACAATCCACTCAAAGTTCAACAGTTTTTTCTTGTTGTTTGTTATGGGGGATGGAACCTGGGGGCACTCTACCACTGAGCTACATCCCCAGCCCTTTTTATTTTTTATTTTGAGACAGAGGACAGAGTCTTGCTAATGTTGCCAAGACTGACCTCAAACTTGTGAACTCCTGCCTCAGCCTCCCATATGGCTGGGACTACAGGTATGCACCACCACACCCAGCAGAGTAATCTTTTCAAAATATAAACCGCCCAGAGCTTGTTGCCTCTCATTACACAAAGAATAAAATCTGAAGTTCATACTGCAATTTATGAGGTCTTACATTCATTCAGCATCATCTAGTAGGCTTCATGTTGCCTCTCCAACTTTTTCTCCTACCACTCTTCTTTTACCACACTCTAGCTACACTGGCCTTCTCTCCATTCCTTGAACATGCCACTCATCCCAGCCTCAGAAAGTGACTCAGGCAGGAACGTTCTTTTCCCCTACATCTTCTTGTGGCTGACACTTTCCTATGAGTCTTCACTAACTATCCTGCCCCCATCATTTTCTACCAATTTACTTTGTTTCCATAGCATTTCTCATTCTCTATCATTATCTTGCTTATTTATTTACTCTTTACCTTATGTGCTTTATTTATTGTCATGGCCCCAGCACTAAATCCAGTGCTGGCATGGGCACGGCACTCTGAATACATAATGTGTGCATCATACAGGTGTACTCTCAGGCCAAAGAGTGGGTTCCAGCACAGAGTGTATTCATTTAGTAGGTATTAACCAAGTCCCTGCTTGTGGGTACAGTATTGTACTAAATAGTGGGGATACAGAGTCATAAATGGTGTGCCCCTTCCCTGTGTAGTCTATGGGAGTCAGATTCTGAATGTCCTCAAAAGGAGACCTATCTCCTTTAACAAAACAAAGTCTGGGGCTGGAGGTGTAGAGCAATGTTAGGGCACTTGCCTAGTGTGCCCAAGGTCCTGGTAGGATTCCCCAGCACCCTGTGGGTAGGGAGCAGGATCCAGAATCTCCAGGTGAGGAGGTGGTGGCTGGACTCTGACCCCTGTCTCATCTTTCCATTCTGTGGAGCTTCTTGCCTCTTTTAAAAAGCTGTGGCTCAGGCCATGTGCCATGGTGCATGCTTATAATCTTAGCAACTCAGAAGGTGAGACAAGAGGATCCTAAGTTCTAGGTCAGCAATTTAGTGAGGCCCTAAGCAACTTGATGAGAACCTGTCTCTAAATCAAATATAAAATAGGGCTGGGGATGTGGCTCAGTGGTCAAATGCCCCTGAGTTCAATCCCTGGTATCAAAAAAAAAAAAAGAGAGAGAGAGCTGGGGATGTAGCTTAGTAGTAAAGTACCCTCGTGTTAAATCCCCAGCATCAAAAAAATAAAATACTCTGGCCCAGCAGTCTTCACAGACACAGCCAACCTTGGTTTCTCTGAACACAGCAAGGCAGGCAAAGTCTTTCACAAAAATTTACCAAACACTCTAGGAGAAAAATGTGGTAATAGAATTGTAATGCAAAAAAAAAAAAAAAAAAAACGTATAAAGACATTATGTGTATGGTGTGAACATACTTTATATACAGAGATATGAAAAATTGTGCTCTATATGTGTGATGCATTCCACTGCTGTCATGTATTTAAAAAAGATTTTAAAAATCGCACACTAAAAAAAAAAAAAGAAAGAAAAAGAAAAATGTGGTAATAAACAAGAGATCCTACAGGACCGAAATATAGCCAGACAAACCTTTCTGCCCTAAAAGATGAGCATAGTTAAGCCTTTGATCTAATGGCATAGAGAGAGAGGCATGTTAGATGTTCTCCACCAAGAACCTTCCTCCTGGGCATCTTTTTTTTTTTTTTTACCAGGGATTGTAACCACTTAGCCACTTTCCTATCTCTTTTTATTTTGAGACAGGGTCTTGCTAAGTTGCTTAGGGTCTCACTAAGTTACTGAGGCTGGCTTTGAACTTGCCATCCTCCTGCCTCAGCCTCCTGAGTTACTGAGATTACAGACATGTGCCACCATGCCTGGCTTCTTCTCCTGGGCATCTTGACCACTTTTTGGAACTGGGAGAAAAGAAGCATGGGCTTGTTCTTCCCTCCTAGTTTTCTGGACTTGGCCTCTACTTCTTGTTATTAATGCTATGGTGGAATTCACATCTTGAGTGTGATGGCTCCCTTCTCATAGAGGCAAGTTCTCCATGCCTAACAATTAAGCACAAGCTAAAACCATGTTTCCTACAGTATCGAACTTTTGTGATATGTTAGGTGATTTTAGATGTTTCAAAGTCAGATCCAGAACAGTGAGATAATAATTCCCTTTTCAATTCTCCTGATTCTATCTGGTAGTAAGCCTCAGTTAGGTACTACCATGCCTTTTTTCTTTTTTTGGTACTAGAGATTGAAATCAGGGTTTCATGCATGCTAGGCAAGTGCTCAACCACTGATCTACATCCCCAGCCATTTTTATTTTTATTTTAAGACAGGGTCTCGGGCTGGGATTGTGGCTCAGTGGTAGAGTGCTTTCCTAGCATGTGCAAGGCCCTGGGTTCGATCCTAAGCACCACATAAAAATCAAAAAATAAAGGTATTGTGTCCAGCTACACCTAACAAATAAATATTAAAAAAAAAAAGACAGGGTCTCAACTGCTAAAGCTAGCCTCAAGCTTTTGAATCCTCTTGCCTCAGACTCCTGAGTTGCTAGGATTACAGGCAAGTACCACCATGCCTAGCTATAAAGATTCCTTTTTTTAAAAAAACTTTTTTTTTTAGTTACACATGGACACAATACACTTATTTTGTTTATTTATTTTTATGTAGTGCTGAGGATTGAACCCAGTGCCTCACATGTGTGAGGCGAGCGCTCTGCCACTGAACCACAACCCCAGTCCTAAAGATTCATTTTAAAGAGAAGTTACTAAGGGGGCTGGGGTTGTGGCTCAATGGTAGAGCGCTTACCTAGCATGTGCAAACCACTGGGTTCAATCCTCAGCACCACAAAAATAAATAAATAAAGGAAGGAAGGAAGGTGGGTGGGTGTTGTGTTCATCTACAACTAAAAAATATTTTTAAAAAAAAAAGTTACTTAGTAGGGGCTCAGTGGTAGAGCGCTTGCCTAGCATGGGCGGGACCCGGGTTCGATCCTTAGCACCACATAAAAATAAAGGCATTGTGTTGTGTCCATCTATACCTAAAAAAAAAAATAAATATTTTTTTAAAAAGTTACTTAGTAAAGAAGGTTTGTATTTATAAAATTATAAAATTATAAAATAAGTAATAATGCAGATGGTGTGAGATGATAGCATAATAACTACATCATAACTACATCATAACTGGTAGTAGTAACTAACAACTTTGTATGTATTAGTATGACATTCTATTACTTAGTGCATGTGTTTAAGACAGGGTTGAAAGACAGTGCTGTTGGGGCTGGGCTTGTAGCTCAGTGGTAGAGTGTGTGCCTAGCAAGTGTGAGGCACTGGGTTCAATCCTCAGCACCACATAAAAGTAAATAAATAAAAGGTATTATACTTTATATATATATATATATTTTTATATATACTTTATATATATATATATATATTTTTTTTTTTTTTTTTTTGACAGTGCTATTGCGGTCATATTTGTCAACTCAGATTTTTTCTTTTCCCCTCTGTAGTGGAACACATGATCCAGAAGAACCAATGCCTCTTCACTAATACCCAGTGTAAAGTTTGCTGCGCCTTGCTGATTTCTGAATCCCAGAAGCTGGCACATTACCAGGTACCTTTTCCATTGAACCTTTAGCACTACTTCACTTCTTTGATCCAGTGCCAAACCCTCACTTCTCCCTGGCGTGCACCGTGAAATGTAATTCTTAGCGCTCAGGCTTTATGTTCATGCATGTTGGCTTGTGACCTGTAGATTGAGGTGATTTCTCTGAGTCTCATCTCTCCCATTCAAATCAGGATCATTATAGTGTGTCTTCCCTTTCAACTTAGTAGAGTAGAAAGCAGAAACTATGAGTTCGAATTTTAGCTCTGCTACTCATCTTGGGCAAGAAATTTCACCATCTTTAGCCTCAGTTTCTTCATGCATGAGGAGATGATAATTTTCTCATTGATTATTGTGAAAACTAAATTTTTATTTATTTAGTTAGTTGTTGATAGACCTTTATTTTATTTTATTTTTTGGGTATTGCTGGGGATTGAACCCAGAACCTTGTGCATGCAAGACAAGCACTCTACTGACTGAGCTATATCCCCAGCCCCAATGGGCCTTTATTTTATTTATTTATGTGCAGTACTGAGAACTGAACCTAGTGCCTCACACATGCCAGGCAAGTGCGCTACCACTGAACCACAGCCCTAGCCCCAGAAAATTAAATTTGATAGCATGTAAAGTGCCTCTCACAGAGTGGGGACTCGTTAAACTAAGTTTCTTCCCCCACACTCTGCACCTCAAAAGTTTTTGTGAAGATGTATCAGATGAAAATCTAGTCTTTAATGCCTTCAATATGAAATGGCAGTTGGCTATCTTTGATCTTTTTCCTGGGTTCTTGCAGAGCAAAAAACATGCCAACAAAGTGAAGAGATACCTAGCAATCCATGGATTGGAGACATTAAAGGGGGAAATGAAGAGACTAGACTCAGATCAGGTAATACAGCTGCCATGTTGAGACCTCTCACTTCCTGATGAAGCCAGCACACAGGTTGGTGTGGTGAAAGAGCCTGGACTTTGAGTCAGTCTAACTCGGCTACAAATCCTGCTCCTATTTTGTGACTTAGACAGGTTTTATTACTTCTCTGAGCCTCGATTTCTTTCTCTATGAAAATGGATAACATCCTAAATATCTACAGGATTTTCCTTAACTAAAGCAAGACAAGGTTTATAAAAAGCACCCAACACAGAACCTGGCATGTAGTAAGGACTTAGTAAATAGAACTATTATTATTCATGCTACCCAACAATTTCTTAGAGCAGGACAAGAAACTATCCAAGAGAAAGTAGAGGGAAGAAAGCTGCTTACTTGCTTGAGAGCTGTAAAAAAGAACTGAGTTTAGAATGTTTTGAGTAAGTAAGTAAAACAAATGCCTGCTCTCATTAATTGGTAATTGCATTTAATTTGGGGGTCAGAATTACTGTGAGAATTATGTTGAAATAACCCCTCTCCCTTAGGAATACCTTATTTCTGTTCTGTGGCAAGCTGTACACATGCAATGAGAAGTCAGTGAACCAGGCACTGCAGTTTCCTGGGTGGACAACTTTGGGCGAGCACTTCTCTCTGAACTTCACTCATAGAGATGATTCCTATGTCTTAAGGCATTGTGAGCAGAAATTCCAGTTGCTAGTTGATGATCTATAAATAAAAGTTTATTTTAAAACTGCTACCTTCTATTTTAGTGGCCAGTGGTTTGAAGGACCTTGCTTGTCCCTTTTGGAAAGTCCCTGAATGTCTCCCCTCATGGGCTTTCTTATGATTTAAAATTGAAGAAGATAGGATGAACTCTGTGACTGGGCAAGTAACTTCACCTTGTTGTACTTAAGTTTCTTCAACTCTTGGGGTGGCTGAGTAATTCAAGTGAGATTACAGCACCTATCCCCAACAAAAGTTACTGAGCCCAAAATATCAACAGTGCCAAGGTTCAGAAATGCTAAATGAATACCTTGTTTAGAGATCAGACTTGCTTAGATTGGGACACCTTAATATAGGTTTAAAATATGTTTCCCAGCCTAACCATGATCAAAATGTAAAATCCAATGATGTGCTTATTCAGAGAACTCTGAGCATCTACTGTGTGCCAGACTCCAGCAGGGTTCAAGGAATAGGAAATAAAATGTGAGTCAAATAGTCCACACCTGAATTTTGCACTTGAGTTCACAGAAAAGTCTTCTAAGCTGTGACACTGTGAGTTTAGGGTGTTAGCAAGCCATATTACAGAGGTCTACTTAGCTCTCTGGCATTACAGAGGAGGAGTAAGATTCTTCCTGGAATGCAGACATGAAGGGGCTTGATAATTATATGCTCAATTATTTTCTTGAGTAAAAGTCTCCTAAAATGAAAAGCAGCTATTTCAAGTAGGCCTCAAAGGCTAAGCAGACAAGACATCAGGCAGGAAAGAAAGGAAGAACATTCTAGACAACGGGAATAGTTCAAGCAAAATAAGCAATAGAGAATAAAGTGGGGTATGATGAGTAGAGACTGGGACAAAATAGGTGGAACAAAATCCAAAAAGGCAGTTTGGGGGTTAATAAGTGAAGGGGGTCTTAAATGCCCAGTGTACTATGGGCACTGGGGAACCACTGAAGATTTTCTGGCCGGGCAGTGGCATGATCAGACCTGTGTTCTTTCTCTCAACCAGAAGAGCAGCAGAAGCAAAGACAAGAACCAGTGCTGCCCCATCTGTAACATGACCTTTTCCTCCCCTGTTGTGGCCCAGTCGCACTACCTGGGGAAGACCCACGCAAAGAACTTAAAGCTGAAGCAGCAATCCACTAAGGTGGAAGGTACTGGTTTTCCTGAGTAGTGCTATATTGGGACCCTTCCTGTCCTTAGGGCATTATTGCCAGGTGCTCCCAGAAATGTTCACTGGGACCACAGAGAGGTTGAACAGCTTTTGAGAGCTCTTATAAATATAAAAAGTAGACTCCCACTTCATTGAAATGCAGCCTCAGAGTTATGCTCACCTAACCTCCCTTTCTTTGGTTCCACCAGTGTTTCCTCAGTAGAAAATTCTTAGCCTGGACTTTTGTCCTGACCAAAAACTGCAACTCAGAAATGCCAAAGTTCTCCAAGACACACTTACACACACACACACTGTGAGAGTGTTCTGTCTCCTGCTTTTCTCACTTAGTTTTTTCCCTCCCACTATCCACTTGCTCTTATTACCTTGTTCCAAGTTGAAAGCTAAGTCCGTGTCCTTTTCTCATGCTCAGGTTTTGCCCTACTCACTTTAATCCTCAAAAGCTGCCTGTTCTCTACACAAGGACTTGCCTTTCAAAGCAGAATACTTCAGTGCCAACACTACTGCCCAGCAAGCTGTTTGCAGCTGCCATGGATTTGTTCCCAGTGCAGTGACTTCTAAAATAGCCTCTTTTATCTTGTCACCACTGGAGCTCACCCCTTGCTTTCATCTCATTAACTTCTGGTTTGCTGGAGTTTTTAACCTCTGCTAACTGCAGTTAGTTAAGAGGGAAAGTTCTTTGATCTTTGTTTCATTTTTTTCTTGTGAATTTTTGCTTCTGTATTTTGTGCCACAAAGTAGGCTACACTATTTGTACTATTTGTTTTACTGTGTTATGAAAACAAGACAATAATATTTGGAAGTTTTGAAGATAGGGTGAAAACGCACTCATAATCATAACTTCTTATCACACCTAAATCTAGTTACTCAATGTATGAAACAATGAAATATGGCCTTTGAAGTCATAGATACCCAGGTTTAAAACCTGGTGCTGCTGTTTATCATTTGTATAACTTCTTTGTGTCTGAGTTTCCTCACCTGTAAAATGTTAATGCTGTCTACTTCATAGATGTGAGGTTAAAATAATGTATGTTAAAAACCTAGGACATAATAGATGCTCAGTAAATGATCATTGTTGTCACCATTAAAATACCCAGTGGGTAGAATTCCCTCATAAAATGCAATAGTTGATCCAGTATCCACCACTGGGAACATGCCATTGGCCTTGCTTACGATTAATTAATCATTGACTTGTACTGATTACTTTTGCTTAAAACCAGTATTGGTACAAATCATGATGCCACAATGTTTAAGCATTAGGCCAAAGGATACTGGCTTAAGAACTGAACTTTATCAAGCTATGTTTATCTTTCCACAAATGGGAAAATTCTCAGGAACAAATCTTATCCCAAAACTTCCACACTAAAGAGTCTATTTTCCATATTTACTTTTAGCCTTTGTCACTTGAAGATAATGTTTTTACATAGTTGTCATCATAGTCCATGAATCACTTGTATTGTTTTCACTTTTCATTCAATTTTTGTAATTTAAGCACTTTTCCATGTAATCATGTACATGTTTATAACTTCTTGAAATTAAACATTTTTGTAATGTATAAGTAATATATGCCCGTTGTAAAAAACATGGAAAATATAGATAAATAGAAAAATTATCATAATTTTACCCTTGAGCAATAACCACTGTTAACATTTTGGAGTACTGTTTCTCCTAAAAACTTTTTTTGTTATGTATGTGTTTATGTGTGTTTATCTGTTTGTATATTTGCTATGTGTATATTTAGGTTAATTGCATATATAGGCGCATATAAACATAGAATACCTTAAAAACTTTGTTTTTTTAAAAAACGACACACACTCATTATGAATAATTCCAATTCAAACAGTGTAAAAGTACAAAAAATAAAATAACACCAAAATCCTACCACCAAGAGAACTACTCTTAATATGTGGATGACATTTCAAAATGCCAGTATATGTAGATAGATGGCAGTTATTTTTAATAGTGACATGACCATATTGTATGTATATTTCTCATTTATATTTTTAATTTAATATAACATTTATATTTCCCTGTGTAATTAAAAACTTTTTTTGTAAACATTTAGAGTGACTACATTATAACCACATTTAACCATTCCCCTAATGTTAAACATTTGAGTTTTCTTCTTCTGTTTTCCTGGTATTATAACTAACACTACAGTGGACATCCCTGTAGAATATTCTTTCCATATGTCCCTTGCACATGCTAGGCAAGCATTCTACTACTAAGCTATATCCCCAGCACTTTTTATTTTTTATTTTGAGACAAGGTCTCACTAAGTTGCCCAGGGTGGCCTCAAACTTACATTCCTCCTCTGTCAGCCTCCTGATTAGCTGGAATTATAGGCTTCCAGCACTGCCTCCAGTTCAATGACCTTTATCTCTTAATGACCATTATTATCTCTTTTCTGATGTCAAAAAATCTACATTCATTGTAGAAGAATTGGAAAATATGGAAAAATACTTTTTGACTTTGTTTTCATACAGTCACTTACCTAAGGTTTTTGCTGTTTTAGAAAATTGAGGACACAAGAAACAAATTGCTTTATAACCTGCCTTTTTCTCCCATTCATCACCACAAACAATATTTTCTTATATTCTACAACATGTAGTTTACTTTTTCCATGGCTTGCTGAAACAAAAATCAATGGCCAGAGAGATTGAGATTCCTTATACTGGAAAACTATTGTGGGAATAGCCAGCAAATTTCTTATGGCTTGAGAAAAACTCCAAAATGGCCCCAGTTGAAGTGGTACAGGGACAGAATAGCATCTGAGCCATCTCATCTACCTGTGAGTGCTGCTGTGCTCTATCCCTTCTCTACCACTGATGGTGGTTCTGGGATCCACATTTTTATAGCAGTGGTTGCTAGGTTAACATTGTTCCCCATCAGTACTTATTAGCGAGTCATGGTATCCACTTTATTTTATTTATTTTTTTTTTAAAGAGAGAGAGAGATAATTTTTTAATATTTATTTTTTAGTTCTCAGCAGACATAACATCTTTGTTTGTATGTGGTGCTGAGGATCGAACCCGGGCCGCACGCATGCCAGGCGAGCACGCTACCGCTTGAGCCACATCTCCAGCCCCATGGTATCCACTTTATAAGGCATTAGCACAGCCTGCAGTCAACATCAGGACCCATGCTGACTCACAGGAAGCTCATACTATGCCCATACCAGGCTCTGCTTCACTGAATCACACCCCAGCACAGTCAGGGAAAGCATCAGTTGTAGCCTTCTTGCCACACTCTGGCAGCTGGGTGTGGCAAAGAGAGCTTGGGCTCTAAGGTCACACCGACCTGGGTTCACTCACTAGCTTAGTGATCTTAGGCAAGCCACTTTACCTGAGCCTCAGTTTTTCTCTGTAATTTGGCAAAATAATACAAACATCATTAGGGTGGTTCTGAAGAACAAAGGGAAAAAAATATGTACAAAATGTGTAACCTGATGTTCACTGTCTTCTCTCCCTCACTCAGCCTAGAAAGCAGTGTAGCCTAAAAGGCATCACTAGTGTGGTTTCCTGACCTCGTATGAGCTCAGAACCTCAATGTCTACATCAGTGCAGTGGTCCCAGCTCTGTAACTGGGATACTTTTTTTTTTTTTTTTTTTAGTTGTAGATGGACACAATACCTTTATTTTGTTTATTTACTTTTTTATGTGGTGCTGAGGGTAGAACCCATGCCTCACACATGCTAGGTGAGCACTCTACCACTGAGCCACAACCCCAGCCCCTAACTGGGATATTGTGAAGATGCAAATAAAATACCCAAACTTCATACCCACTTGCTAGAAAGTCCAGGAAATTCTGAGGGACGAAAAGATTGCAGTATGCACCTCTAGTTTGTAATAATTAAGCAACTTGATGGCAGAAGTTCAGAGTCTCTTCATGGTATGAGAAAATCAGGACTTGAATGCCTAAAGTTGAAGCTGCTGAACAAATTAACTGCTTCTGGGCTATCCCAGATCTTCCCAGTTTTCCCAATTAGAGAAGGTGTTCATTGTGTGATTCACATAGGCAGTGCCACATCTGCCAGTATGATTAAATAGTGACACTGCCTTTCTTTCTCTTCAGCATATTCGAAAGCTTGGCACTTTCTGGGTTTTTTCATTGTTTCTGTTTGAACTCTTTCACCGCAGCTCTGTCGAAACGCCTTACAAATCCTTTCCTTATGGCCTCCACCTTAGCCTTGCACCAGAATAGAGAGATGATAGACCCAGACAAGTTCTGCAGCCTTTGTCATGCGACTTTCAACGACCCCGCCATGGCTCAACAACATTATGTGGGCAAGAAACACAGGAAACAGGAGACCAAGCTCAAACTCATGGCGCACTATGGGCGGCTAGCGGACCCTGCTGTCACTGACTTATCAGGTGAGAGGGCCCAGCTCCCATTCAGAGCTGGATCAGGTCTTGACCATTGGGGCCAGGTCTGTGCTTCTACTCCTTATGTTTTCTAAAGTAAGATTTGCAAACTTAGATGCCTGTGGAAGTCAGGCTGGAAATTTAAATGAGCGCAAGTGAGAAAGGGATATGGTCAGCTGAAAAGTGCATGCCTCTGCTAGTCAGCTCTAGACTATTCGGTTTTTCAGAAAACTCTGGAAAGCCAGATTTTTATAGGAATTTCTCTTAATTTTTTTATTTTTTAGTGCTGGTGATCAAATCCAGGACCTTGCACATACTAGGCAAGTGTTCTATCACTGAGCTATGTCCCCTGCCCAAATTTCTCTGAGTTTTAAATGTGGGACTAAATTTAAAAAATTTTAAACCCTGTGTGAGTAAAACCCAGTGTGCAAACCAGATTTGAGCCAAGGGCCACCAGTTTATAACCTCTGATTTAAACTCTCTTGCAAGTTTTGAGCTATATCTCAAAAATTGACTACTGTGTATAAGGCCCTGCAGTCAATCTTCAGTACTGAAAAACAAAAAACTCCCCAAGTGTCGTCCACATATGTAGGTCTCAATAGCCTGTGCTGCTGGATTTTGAGTGTCCTCATCATACTGCTTTCCTAGGAGCAGGGGCCTGTCAAAAATATCCTTGGGATAGTGTAGTTAAGGAGACCGTTCTGGCTCAGAGAATATTTTCTACTTCCTTAACCTCAAGGTTTCAATCAAGCCTGTAATCTCAGCTGCTTGGGTAGCTGAGGTGGGAGGATCACAAGTTAAAAGCCAGCTTCAGCAACTTAGCAAGACCCTGTCTCAAAATACAAATAATGCTGGTGATGTTGCTCAGTGGTTAAGGGCCCCTGGGTTCAGTCCCCAGTACCACCATCCCTCCCTCCACCAAAAAAAAGATTTTAATCAATATCACTAGAGTGGGAATTCATAAACAATTAGGGGGTCCCTCCCATAATAGTAACTACTCACAGCCTATAATAAATGTGTGTGTGTGTGTATGTGTATGTGTATTAAGGAAATGTTATTATTGTCTCTTTCATTGAGTCAGGAAATATTGTTGAGTGCCTACTGTGTTCCCTTATTGAAGAGTAGTAGTAGAGCCTACATGACCATTGGTGTTGGTCCTCATTGTTCCCTCAGGGTAGGTGAATGCTAGGAGGGAAAAATCTAAGTGGAAGAGGTAGAAGATAAAGTATTCTCATGTTGACCTGGCAAACTTTGGCAAGCCATGGAGGTACAAGTCAACACTTGAGACCTTCTCAGTATCTAGATGTGGAACAGCTGGGCTTCAGAGAGCTTGCTGCTTAGAATCATCTGGTCTCTTCCCATAATCATAGGGAGGGTGAACAACCCAGTGCCATAGATGTTCCAGATCACATATGGGCACAAGGTGGGAGGGATCATGCTTCTTTAACAACCGTCCAAACACCAAAGGCAGCCATACATATAGGCCGTTCCTGAGCCTTGCTGACATGAATGAAACAGGTGCAAAGCAATGATCAGGAAGCAGGGGGAGAAAACTATGGGCCAGGTCCTTTATCTGGCTGCCAGGGATTGTTCATCCAGTACCTGCTGCATAAATTACTTCAAGATAGGGAAGGGGTATCTGGTATTTACTTACTGTTCCCTCATTCAGGGTCATTCCCATATGCTAAGGATTCTTTAAATTTAAGAACCAAGAAGCTCAGAGCCTCCCTTCTTGATGGCCTCCTTTTTGGCCTGCAATTAATACATATAACATTATGTCCAATTGGCCTGACCCAAGATTCCCTTGCAGCAGACCTTTCTTCCTTCACTCCAAATCTGACTCCTTCCATAGTCCTCCCAACTCTCGTCTTTCTTTCTTTTTTTTTGTTCATTAGCAGGACTGAGTCATTGCAGTGTTTAGCTGCTTATTTTAATTTGTGTCCATTCTGCTCTTCTGTCTCAGACCAAAGCCGCCTCCTTATCTCTGTCTTCCCCCTCCATTTTTCAGAGGCTAAATTACTTAATCCTAGAATCACTAGCTTTGGGTTTTTGGTTTGGCATCTGAGTACTTTACAGATTAGCCCAGATCTTTTCTGAAAACCTAAGCAGAGGACAGGTGTGCTGGCAAACGCCTGTAATCTCAGCTACTCGGGGAGGCTGAGGCAGGAGGATCACAAGTTCAAGGTCAGCCTCAGCAACTTAATATGACCCTGTCTCAAAAAGAGTTAGGGATATAACTCAGTGGTAGAGTGCCCCTAGGTTCAATCTCCAGTACCACAAAAAAGAAAAAAAAAAAAACATAATCAGGGAGGTAGCAAGGTTGGAAGTTTGATTTCCATCACTCTTAGAGAGAAAAGATCTGGGACCCACTGATTCCATCTTCTTGTTCCCAATGTCATGTTTTTTGTAGAGACACTTTTTGTCAGTCATGAATACAACATGTGGTAGATAGGTCACTGTTCCCTCCCCATGCTGCGTTGGTACCCCAGACTTTGAGCTGTTGAGTACAGGAAAAATGGACTTCAAAGTTGAAATCTCATACATGTAATTAAGGTCTGCAGAGCACAAACAGAAATGCTGCCCAGGTGTAATTTGTTTCAGACAATGGAACTGTGGCTCAGATGTTTACACTGATAACCAGGTTTACCCACCCCAGCAACTGGTATACATGGCATACAGTGCCTCCTACACTTCATGGATGGTCTGGAGCACATTTTGGTATATATGCACCTTGTGAAAGCCATGTGGACTCTGATTAAAGACTCGGGTAACTTGTATCTAACATTCTACTAGGCCTTATTATTGGCGCATAACCAGGTGCTGCCAGTCTTCTGGCAACCCTGCAGAACATTACAGATAGGAGGCAAAAAAAAAAAAAAAAAAGGACAAGCATAGAGAAGAAGATAGTGAAGACATGTAATGACAAATATTCTTCAGTGAGCCCAGTGCATTTTCCCTTGTATCCAATCCCTAACCAGTTCTTGTTCACTTGACCCAGGGTAAATCTTCCCATAGTCCTCTACAAAGACAGATTCCTTCCCATGGTCCTCTACAAAGACAGGTTCTTTGGGGGAGTGCTCGCCAAAAGGCATATTCCTAAGCATACCATGTGGAAGGACCCCTTGTCAATGGGCCTAAGCAGAAAGATTGCAATATCCTCTAAAATTTCCTTTTCTTTTTTCTTTTTTTGGTACTAAGGATTGAACCCAGGGGCGCTTAACCACTAATCCACATCCCCAGCCCTTTTAAAAATATTTTTTATTTAGAGACAGGGTCTTGCTGAGTTGCTTAGGGCCTTGCTAAATTGCTGAGACTGGCTTTGAACTCAAAATCATCCTGCCTCAGCCTCCCAAGCCACTGGGATGGGGTGTGCACTACCACACCTGGCTAAAAGTTCCTCTTGATAAAGGGGTTGGAAAAGGTAGGGATTTGGTTGAAGACTTATGATTCAAGTTGTTTGATGAGGACCTTTGTAATGGATGATGTTTGTTCATCCTAGAATCACCTGGAGCCAAGCCTGATAGTTGAACAGGTAAGGCCACCATGTAATTATACAGTGACAAAGAGCATGGAGCCTGGGGATGAAGGTGTAACTCAGTGGTAGACAGGTTGCTTATTATACACAAGGTCTTGGGTTCAATCTCCAGCCCCACCAAAAAAAAAAAAATATGAAGGAAAGAAAAGAAATTCTGGAACCTAAGGAGAAACTGAAGGCTTGGTGTGCTGTATCCTATGCTGAGTTTGTGAATCAAAAAACTTCATGACATTTTTGAGGGGGAAAAAATGTTCTAAGAAAGCAAGAAAAGAATTAGTCCTGCTGTGAATGGAACTGCTGATTTATAAACTGAGATGAGTTGCAATGGCATCTCATGACAAGAAACTAGATGTGTTTAGCAGAGCAAGAAACTGAAGAAAGCCCAGGTCAACATCCAGGGTGTCCTCTAAAGTTTATCCAAACACTATCCCAAGGCCTCAGCTTCTGTATGAAACCAGTCTTCTTTAGAACACACGTCAGAAACACCCTGTACCTGTAGCCGCAGTACAAAGAGAGCATAGCATGGTGCTCATCCAGAGCACTGCAACAGCTAGTGACATGTACAGGCCAAATGTATCCAAAACAGACCTCTCAGCATTTGTCTATTTGGAGTCTTTCCAGCCTATTGAATCTTTGCAATGTGGGAAAGCCATCAGTGAAAAGGATAACCTCAACCAGTGTCCATGAAAAGGTCAATCTGGATCACCAACAATGACATTTCCATAGATGGGAGAATTGCCCATTGACCTGTGATCTCTATAACAGTCTTCAGCACCAGTGCTTTCTTGGAAAGCCACATGAGGTTCCATTCAGATGAGAAAACTTGCTCTTGCATTTTTTTTGCCCAGAATCCTTTGACCCCTTTGATTTGTTAAAAGATCATGTGACCATTCATATCAATTATAGCTGCCTTACCTGCCCAATTTATAAGAAACAATTCTCAGATTTCAGCCACATGAAAAAGCAGACGCACTGCTTCCACTGAGAAAATATTTACCAGTACACAGAATGTGACAAGATCTCCTGTCACCCCAGTGAACCGCAGCTCCATATGCTCCAGCGTTTAAACCACATGCATCCTGTGTACTCCCTGTGGGAAGCAATTTAACCAGAAAAGACAAACTATGGAAACACATGCAAAGGATGCATAATCCTGAGAAGGAAGCCAAGAAAGCCAATCACAGCAGCTCCCAAATGTTCACACCTCCCATCACATCCATAGATTATGACAGCTTCATGTTCAAATTCCAGCTGTGGGTGACAGGCTTACAGAATAAGTCATGCTGGCAAACCACTTATCAAAGACGCACCAAGGGGCTGGGGATGTGGCTCAAGTGGTAGCGCGCTCGCCTGGCATGCGTACAGCCTGGGTTCGATCCTCAGCACCACATACAAACAAAGATGTTGTGTCTGCCAAAAACTGAAAAAAAAAAGATGCACGCAGACTTAAAGATAAATAGGTGCCAGCTGCAAT